GCATCTGGGTGGCTCAGTCGGTTAAGTGTCTGACTCCTGATTTCGGCCCAGGTCATGATCTCACGCACAGGTTCGTAAGTTTGAGCCCCACATGAGATTCTTTGTGCCCCTCCCCCCACTTGTGCGCTCTCTCTCTCTCAAAATCAATTAATTTAAAAATTTTAAATGTACTTATTTACTTACTTATTTGTTTTTAAAGCAATCTCTACACCTAATGTGGGGCTTGAACATATGACCCCAAGATCAAGAGCTGCATGCTCTACTGATTGAGCCAGCCAGGCATTCCAAGAATTTTAACTATGAACCTTAATTTTTTACTAGAAAGGTTTTGGCTTTTTATCTCTTGATAGGAAAATTCTCACATTTCCATATATGGAGAACACAGAAACAGACAATAGAGGGAAACAACAACAACAAAAAAGGATTCTTTTTTATTCCTGTCATTATTTTAACTTTATTATGAGGATTAATATAGGGGAGCCTGGGTGGCTCAGTTGGTTAAGCATATGACACTTGATTTGGGCTTAGGTCATGATCTCACAGCTTGTGGGTTCGAGCTCCACATCGGGCTCTGTGCTGACAGCTCAGAGCCTGGTGCCTGCTTCGGATTCTGTGTCTCCCTCTCTCTCTGCCCCTAACCCACTCACATTCTGTCTCTGTCTCTCTCAAAAATAAACAAACATAAAAAAAAAAAAAAAGAATATAAAAACAATCAAAAGAAATCAACACCTACTAATAAATGGACATTTTTACATGTTCTTTTAGCATTTTGAATGTCACTGCCATCCCATTACCTTCTGGTTTCCATAATTTCAAAAGACAAGTCAGTTGTTAAACTTATTGTGGCTCCCTTGCATGTGATGAGTCCGTTTTATTGCTGCTCTTGAGATTCTTTGTTTTTTCAAAATCTGACTATGATACATCTAGGTGTAGATTGCTTTGTGTTTATACAATTTGAAGTTTATTGAATTTCTTGGATATGAAGATAACTATTTTTAATGAATTTGGAAGTTTTCATCTGCTATTAATTCTTAAACTTTCTGCCCCTTTCTCTCTTTTCCTAGAACTTTCATGACATGTACACATTGGTACACATGCTGGAGTCCCATACTCTCTGAGACTGTTTTTGGTGTTTTTCTTTCTGTTCTTCAGACTGGATAATTTCTATTAATCTATGTTCATATTCACTACATCTTTCTTTTACCAACTCAAATTTGCTGTTGAGTGATCTCTACTGATATGCTCCGTTTGATGAGTCACTGTCATTGTAATTTGCCTTTAATCCTTTAAAGAAGAATCTTCCTTGAATTCTTTGAACATACTGATAAATAACTGCTTTTAAGCCTTTGTCACTAAGAAGCAACATTTGGGATCCCTCAAAGATAGTGTCTATTGGCTATTTTTTTCCCTGAGTATCAGTAATACTTTCATGTCTATTTACATGTCTCTTTAATTTTTTGGTTTAAAATTGGACATTTTAGACAATATTTTGTAGCAACTCTGAATTCTGACCCCTGCCTCCACTGTGTTGTTGCTGTTTTTATCTGTTTAGTGACTTACCTGGACTAATTCTGTAGTTTGCTTCTCCAGTAATGTGTAGCCTCTGCATGTCCCTGCTTAGTTTTGTTTTGTTTTCTTTTTAAGTCTAGCTTTCTAGGGGGCTGCCCTAGGTCAGCATAACTTAATAGTCAGCCAATGACTGTTGAGAGGTTTAGCTTAAACACCTTGAATCAGCACTTCGTTCTTCTGCCACCAGATCTGTGTGCAGCTTGAGGGATACTTTCAAAGTGCAGGGAGTTCATCACTCTACCCTGGTAGACTGGTAGCTTGGAAGGGCCCTCTTTGTCCTCTCCTGAGCCAGTGCAGCTTTATATATGCATAGTCTTCTGGAACATGAGAAGTAAGTGTGATTTAAAAAAAATATATATATTTTTTTAACGTTTATTTTTGAAGGAGAGAGAGACAGAGCATCAGCAGGGGAGGGGCAGAGAGAGAGACAGAGGGAGACACAGAATCTGAAGCAGGCTCCAGGCTCTGAGCCATCAGCACAGAGCCTGATGTGGGGTTCAAACCCATGAACTGAGAAGTAAGTGTGATTTTAATAGGGCCCACATTAGCAAACTCTTTCCCTAGATTTCTGATAAATTTCTGGCTAGTTGGTCATTTTGTTGCTTCCCACATCATTAGCCTTCCCAGAACATTTGCCACAGAGACCTCTATTGTTTTTGATGACATTCCTGGGTATGGATTTTTTCATGCACTGCTCTAAATAAGGTCAGCTCCTTCTGACAGGACAATAGAGTTGCCAGTCCTCTGGCTTGTCCCACCTGCCTGTCTAACCTGAGGGACCACAGAGCTGAGGGAACTAATGGAAGCAGCAGCTACTGACACAAGTTATCACTGTCCTTATTGAAATTCAGTAGCTTTTTTTGAATAAATACCTCTCAATGCATGTCCTTTGGTTAATTTCCAGAGACCTTAAATATATGTGTGTGTGTGTGCGCGCGCGCACGTATGCACGAGTGTGTGTTTTAAACAATTTGTCCAGTTTAAGCACTGCTTTTTGGGGAGAGGATTTACCAAACTCCTCACCAAGTCATTCGAGAAGTGTTGCTCCATTTCAGAAATGCTACGTTTTATTTTGAACTCTTCTACCCGATCTAATGTTCTAAAGATCAAGAACAAATATTAAACAGAACCATTTACTGGACTTTGAAGTGCCCCCACTGAGCAGACAGGAATAATCCAATGAAATTTAGAACCACTGAAGGAAAAACTTTCCCCAAAACCAGGACCAAAATGAGTCTGCACATCTTAAAGATTCCTCAACATCACTTCAACATGAAACTTTTTACACTTACTCTTAAAGATGGGGTAAAATAGATGTCTAGTTGAAGATTAGGGGTACAGAAAGGGACATGTTCAGTAGAGCCTGAAGTCACCCTACCTGGGCTCGCTCCTCATCAAACTCCAGGCAGCCCATACCATCCAGTCTCTGGAGGTCAATCCAGCCTTTCCAGATAACACAGACTCCATTCAGAATCATGGGAGCCTTCAAATACACCTAAGACACAGAAAAGGCACATGAAAACCAATGATAAGCCATCAGATACATGAAAAATGAAGAATAAGCTTTAAGGAAACCTGTGGTTTTCTTGGGGGAAAAAGATGAATACAATTATAAAATTAAGAATTATAGGAAGGTATATAAACCATAGCTCTGACCAAATTCTAGAAGTTAAGTTAATCTGGTTTACCAGGATTTTATTTCTAGTCACAATTCTCTCAAATTGTTTTTTAAAAAAAGTGATACAAATTTTATAAAAACTATAATAAAATGATACTTGAAATAGACATAGTTGAAGCTGAAGCTAGGACAATAGGTACTTTGCCTTGATTTTTGAACCTCGGGTAAAAAGCTATAAAGATGGAAAACAACTGGAATTCACGAGCCCCTAAAGACAGCACACACAGTTTCCCTCTATTTGGAAACCTGGAGCCACCCAGAGTCGGGCTCTTCATACTTCCCTTCAGTTTTATAAGCTACCTCATTGCTTCCTATGAAGTAATGCAGCTTTTTTCCTTTTTTTCTAACTTCAGTTAGCCAGTTTGTCTGCTTTTAACCAAAGAAACTTAACTGATACAACATTTATTTATTCACCATTATTTTTCAAGTAAACATAAATGATTCTAGATTAAAAGACACTTTAGGTATGATTTCAAAATTCAGACCAGTTTCATTTTCAACCACCAAATTCTGATACTGCCTGAAAATATAACTGTGCTCAAGAACAATTAAGGATCCACCAAGAAAGGAAAGGTGCTAATACTGTCATCTTAAGGTGAAAATTTTATTGTGAAACAGTAAGAAATATAAAAAATTTATTATAATTCCCACACTCTTCCCCCATCCTAATATCACTATCCTAATAGTGACTTTAGGAAAAAACAAACAAACAAACAAACAAACAAACAAACAAACAAACATTGTTATTTTAGATCTTCTCTACCTTATTTAACATGGGCTTCAGGGGCACCTGGGTGGCTTAGTTGATTAAGCCTCTGACCCTTGATTTTGGCTCAGGTTATGATCTCACAGTTCATGAGTTTGAGCCCCGCACCAGGCTCTGCACTAATAGTATGGAGCCTGCTTGGGATTCTCTCTCTCTCTCTCTCTCTCTCTCCCCCTCTCCCTCTCCCTCTCTGTCCCTCCCTGACTTGCATGCATGCTCTAAGTAAATAAGTGAACTTAATAAAAATTAAAACAAAAAGAAAACATGGGCTTCAGAATAAAAATCAGCATAGATGTTTATCATTTAATGCCTTAATAAGATTTCTTAAATGCAGAAGAAGCAGGATTTCAATGACTTTTCAAAACTCCAGGTTATCAAATATACATTTATAAATAAGGTCTTCATTTGTCTACACCAAATATATTTTATTTAAATAATCCAAGTGCTTTTGTGAGCTAAAATTAGCATTATTTATTACTTGTAATTATATAAAATTGGTTAAGACAGTCTTCATTTTAAGTAAAAAGCTGTAAACATCAACTTTTTCTTTTCTCAATTCAGCAGTTTCTTCAAAAATTTTGGGGCATTCTTGTTTCTAGAAAGGTTTAATAAGAATAATTGACTGTCAACAATTACAAATATGCTCAAAAAATTACAACTGAGACACCTGTAAAATAAAACCTACAGGATTTATGCCATCTTATTTTTGTCATTCCCCTCTACTATTAACACAACCTTTTTCTTGTTAAGGGCTCCAATAAACCACCCTGAACTAACTTCTATTTATATTGGGAAAAGAAGTCCAAAACATAAGGTTCCATTTCTCCTCCCATTTGGACCAAGGGAAGTAGCCTACAGTTATAGCTGAAACCGTTTAACCACATATTTCCTTCTGTTCTGATAAGTGCTCATTCTCTTCTACATTGTGAATTTAAAACTCCACTAAAGTGCACCTCGTCAGACAAGTGACTATGACAACCTCACTTTCAACACCTCAAAACCTAAAAACAATAGCCCTCCTCACTGCCTATCAATGTAACTTGACTTAACACATCTTCTAATCAATATCTCCACCAACTCTTTCTCACATGGGAGGGTGCCACACAGTGAGGACTGTAACATTTCACCTATCAAAGTACCTCATTAAATTCTCACACTAATCATGCACAGAATTCTCCTCTTCTAACAGGAGAGAAAGGTCAACTTCATGATTAGATTCTACGTTCTTCATCACATGATTTATATCATTTAGAATCAAAGATTCCATAATCTAGCTTATTCATATTAACTCTATAATCAAAATTATTTTCCTTATGAAATTACTGAATTTTTAAAAAGCCCATTCATTACTTCTTTATAAACATTCTCTCACGACAAAGAAAACCACCAATCTGTTTCGGGAAATTCCTAAGTGGATTCGGAAAAAGACTATGGTTCTTAGTCAAGGCTAGTGCCTAGAATCATAATGTAAAATAATATTTAGATGACTCTGGTGATTTATTTAGATGTTCACATTCAAAAATACAGTTTTACATTTAGATCTTCAAATGTTTGGCACTTTCATACATTTCATGAATACCAAACCTCAAAGTATGAAGAAAATAAAATTCTGTCTCTTAACAGTTCAGCATTTCGTAGTATAATCTAATAATACAATTTAAACACTAAGATATTTTTCACTGAAGATAATGATGACTTATTTCAAACTGTGAAAAGAAAATGTATTAGAATGTGACCTAGGGATTAAATCTATTGTCCTAGAACAATTAAATATTTTAAACGAAATGTATTCTATAAAGCCTTTAAAAGTAAAAAACAATCGATTCAGGGGTGCCTGGTTGGCTCAGTTGGAAAAGCATGTATTCTTGATTTTGGGGTCATGAGTTCAAGCCCCATGTTGGGTATAGAGATTAAATAAATAAACTTTTAAAAAAAGTATTAAACAGATTCAGCTCATCACACACAGAAACAACAAAATAGCCTGCTTATTTTTCCAAAAGTAAAGTAGCAGGGAATGTGAGACTTCACAGAAAGTTCAAAATGACTACAGCCTCACATTGTATTCTTCTGGAAATAAGGTAATAGTATTTAATTTTTAATAAAATCAATCTCTAAATATCAGGTGTGACATTACATTCAATCCAAATTATGCATAATATGACCTTACTGTCACCTTTAAATACCACATCACTGTAGCAGTAGAGCTTCAGCAAATACAGGTATGCACTGTCAGCTTGGCATTATCCACATACTGGGATACAATTCACCCACAAAAAGGAATAAAGTATTGATACATGCTACAATATTGTTTTAAAAAAATTTTTTTATGTTTATTTAGTTTTGAGAGCAAGAGAGACAGAGCATGAGTGGGAGAGGGGCAGACAGAGAGGGAGTCACAGAATCCAAAGCAGGCTCCAGGCTCTAGCTGTCAGCACAGAGCCTGATGCGGGGCTCGAACTCACGGACCGCAAGATCATGACCTGAGCCAAAGTCGGCCACCTAACTGACTGAACCACCCAGGTGGCCCATGCTACAATATTCAATTTAAAAAAAAAAAAAAAAAAAAAAAAAAAAAAAAAAAAAAAAAAAAAAAAAAAAAATTTTTTTAAGGTTTATTTACTTTTGAGACAGAGAGAGACAGAGCATGAACGGGGGAGGGTCAGAGAGAGAAGGAGACACAGAATCTGAAACAGGCTCCAGGCTCTGAGCGGTCAGCACAGAACCCGACGCGGGGCTCGAACTCACAAACCGTGAGATCAGGACCTGAGCCGAAGTCGGACGCTTAACCGACTGAACCACCCAGGCGCCCCTGTTCAATTTTGAAAACATTATGCTAAGTGAAAGAAATCAGAAAAGGGCCACATATTACATGATTCCATTTATTTGAGATGTGAATATACACTGGCACATACAAATGTGCAATTACAGAGAGAGACAGAAAGGAGATTAGTGGTTGCCTGGGGCTGATGGCGAGGGAAGGTGGGGGAGGGATAAGTGATTGCTAATAGGTACAGGGTTTCTTTCTGGATGATGAAAATGTTTTGGAATTAGACAGCAGTAATGGTTGCACAATTCTGCGAATATACTAAAAATCCCTGAATTGTACATTCTTAAAGCATGAATTTTATGGTATATGAATTTTATCTCAATAAAACAATTATAAAAATACTTATAATAACTTTACAGTTGCATATGGGATACTAGCACTCTGAGAAGATATGGGCCGGTGATATAAATCTAGCAGCCATCAACAATACAGTGGTATTTAAATCCAAGGGAGAGGAAGACATTGGCCAAGCAATAAGTAGAAGGAGAAAAGAAGGGGGGCCAGGAAGAACTCTGAGGACATCCAATGTCTAGATGCTGGATAAAAGAAAAGAACCCATCAGAGCAGGCTATAAACAGCCAGTGAAGAGAAAGAAAAACACATAAGGAACCTAGTGGCTAAAGGTTAAGTTATAGGACCCCACGGAAAAATTTCCCCTTTGTTGGATGCATTAGATACCTAAGGATTATCTTACAGGATCTTAGGTCACTCATAACTTTTAGGATTGCTTTTATTTAAGGTAGGAGTTCTTAGTCTGGAGTTCAGAGAACCTACAGGAGTTTGGGTTTATGGAAGTTTCAAAAAGACCAGAAACACCTTGAAATTCTATGTAAAAATGTGTGTGTTTGACTGAGCCCATGTGCATTTTTTTTTGTAAGTTCACTACTTTCACCACATTCTCAAGACTGTACAAGGCAAAAAGATTCAATCATGACAGTAAAAACTTCATTCTTCCTCTTCCCTCATAGGTACCAAGATCTTTGTAGCAGAGAGCCAGAAAGATGATAAACAGTCTTCACTTAAATTGACCAAACTTCCTAAATAGCTAAAAATTAGTTATTCTGTGTTTTGCAACATAAATGTCAGAGGAAAGACATAAGAGACATAGAGACATAGAGAACCTAGTCAACTTCTCATTTATCAATCTGTACAAACAGTTCTATCTCTGAGAGTCTGGACTCTACTTATTCTGAGAATATCTAAATTTGGAATAAGCAGTGGCAT